AAGGTGCAGAGACACACCCCTGTGCTAACTGATAGCAGCTCGCTCCAACATCGTAAACTATCCGTAAAATATCCATAGACTAAAGCTGTGTTGTGGTGGCACGGCCTGATGTTTCTGRGATTAATACTGCAATTGTGCAGTTTCACAGTCGATGCTTTCTACAAAATGACTTTCTCAACAGCTGAGGTTACCTTGCCTCAAGCTTCACACTGCACCGTCTTGTTTTTGTAAACAATGACGTAATTTATTTTTGTAAACAATGACGTAATTTATTTTTCCAAGCAATGATGCAATATGCTAACTTTTTTTTTTGGGGGGGGTCCAAGGATGTAGGTTAAGTTGTTTATCATTTTAAAAGTAATCATACAAAAAGTTACCAGAAATGTTTATTTTACTCAAAATTAGCTAATGCTAAGGTGCAGTTTTTGTAACACAAGTTATTTTGTACAGACCCAAACTAACAGTCAAACTTTTTATTTTATTTTATTTTATTTTATTGTAAATATGAATTTGCAGTGAAAATTGCTTGCTGCATATTAACTCTTTAATTATTAATAATATCATTCTTAATAACTGTTTAAGATTAGGTGTTATAGACTGAAAAGTACATTCTAACCTGGCCTAAAACATTGTAAAACATCATTAAATGACAACAGAAAGATAGGTTTGTTTATATCCCAGAAGCCACTCTTTCATGCAGTTCGGTCATAAGCCTGCAGCGTTGGGATTATTTTGTTTCTGATAACCGTGTGAATAAAACAATAGTTTTTAGRGATGCACAATATWTYGGCATTCATATCAGTATCTGCCGATATTGGTCATTTTTTTAGAATATCGGTCTGATGTGTAAAACTGGGCCGATATTAACATCCAATATTGATTTCCCACTTTTTATCTTTGTGTTTCTGTTTTGGGAGGGTTGATGGTTGGTTGAGCGTCATCTGTTTGATCATGATAGTGATATTTACGCTGCACAGCCAGGAATAACTGAAGTAGAGCCATGCCAGAGGTCTGGTTGTTTATTTACGGTATCAAAAAAAAAAGACCCAAGTGTGTTTGTGCGTATATGTATAATATAATTTGTGTGTTTGTATAATATCAGTAAATATCGGTTATCGGCCATAACAGCGATAATAATATCGATATYGGCTGAAATTTTCATATCGGTACATCCCTAATGGTTTTGTTTCTTATCTTCTTGACAGCTGAAACTCAAAGCAACAGGCAGGGCAAGAAGTTGCAATGCTCAGTTTTCTGTGATTTTGACTGTCCTCCCTATCTGCTGGCAGCATGTTTTTACACAATACTAAATGACTGAATTCTTTACCTGATCTCTTTGTGAATTTTTTTTTTTTCCATTACAGTAGCAGGCCACAACACTGAGTTCATGCCAACACCTAAACTTTCTTCAGTCCTGTCTAACATCACCCGAACATTTAAAGTGCTTTAGATAAAAGTGACATGGTCCAGCTTGTTTCTCACATATGCAGTGTGTACAGCCTATTATCTACAAGCTGCAGTAGAGGAAACGGGAACGTAGGAATGCAGCTCCAAGAGGCCAGAGTTTGCAGAAAAACACAGTTTGGGTAGGTGAACTCAAGTCTTCAAAGTTTAAACTGAAGTTGTTGTTCCTGATTCTCCTAACAGAAAGTTTGGATTCTCTGTTCTTTATGTGTCCGAGTTTTATACTCTGCACCTTTCTTTGGGCAGTAAGACAGCACATCTGTGTATGAATGTGATCCAAAGCACTGATTAGACTCGCTAGAATAATTTATTCAGATTAGCTTTGAAGTAGAGGGTTGTAGGAGTGTGAGTGTGGAAGGGTAAATGAGGACACAGATTGTGTTTTTAAGAGCTTTGAGTAGCCTGGTTGTGCAGAAAAGCACTTCAAAGGTGCAGTCCATTTACCTTCAGTTTAAGAAAGAAAAGTTTTGCTTTAAAGTCATGTCAGCACGTACTAGACCAAGTCATCTTTGATCCTATAAAACTTTCATATGAGTTTTGGATTAAAACAAGCAGGTTGTTTTGTTCTGTGCTTTATTAACACTCCTGTTGAGTGGCACCTGTCGGAGGAGGTACTTGAGCAATGCTTGTGATGTCAGCCTTGAGGAGAGGCTGCGTTCAGGGTGTAGCGTGTGTTATTACAGCTTAGCTTTGAGGTAAAATATCTCCTCAGGTTGATGCAAATAGCAGCACGACGGCTCAGTGGTTAGCACTGTTGCCTCACAGCAAGAAGGTCCTGGGTTCACATGCTCTTTTTATGCTTGCTTGGGTTTTCTCTGGTTTCCCCCACACCCCAAAAATATGTTTAATAGGTTGCCTTCAGGCCCAGGCCTCCCTTGAAAAATATATCTGCGATCTTAATGGGATTTTCCTGGTTAAATATTGATAAAATAATAAACAAATAAATGYATGTTTCCTAAAAATGCAATAAAAAACAAATTAAGTTCTGACATAATTGGATTTTAAGTGAAAGTTTGTAATCAGAAGCCTGTTCTGACAGATCTCAAGCTTTGCTGCTTCACTTTGTGAACTGCTTCCATATAAAATGACTCAATTCTATGTTTTAAAAAGGGAATAAAGAACACTGTGTTTATTCTCAGCCAACCGAATAAATCTTTCATTGTCTTTAGTTGCTAAAAAAATCTAGTGTTAATTTGAAAACACAGTGTTTACTATAGCAACAGTAACTTCCTCTCTGTTTTAGGGGGGTGCCCTAAGTGTGCGTGACCTCATTTCTTCCTCTGTATCACTTCCTTCTTCTAAGCCTCACTCTTCCAACAGCTGGTCCTCTTATATTAACTTTTTTTGTAGATCTAAAAATCAAGTCACATGTTTTCTTCTTTCTTACTATAATATTCCACTTAAAGTAAAAACGAAACTTAATGCTGCACAGTTGCTGGAGTGTTGTTTTAAAGACAATCGCTGACTGTGCCAGGGTGCAGATTACTCAGAGTGGTGCAATTCATTCTGTGTTCATCATAGCTCCATCCTGTAATCTAAAAACTGTGTCGCACTGCTGGCTTCTTGACTTAACCCACTCAGTTGGTTTAGATAAATGGGAACTGGTGTACGTAGTTGTTTAGTTTTTTAACAGACTCTACAGCTACTGATACAATATAAAGATGTGACGGACAGTAAAAGCTGTTTTCTGAGCCCATACATTCTTCACAATTACTTTTCCAGAGCTTTATTATGAACAAATATGCAGTGAAATGTTCACCAACAGGCTAGGTTAGGACTGACTGTGTACTGTTACCACAGCACACAATGCAGTAGGTTGGACGTGTCGTGAAACCAATAACAGCATCATGAGGGTGGAGGCTTTCTAAAAGAACTGGGCTGGGTCYTGCTCCACCTGCAGACTATGACATGCCCTCCAAAATCTAGGCGTGTAGGAGGCATTTATTTTGTTCCGTTCTCACTCTTCTGTACGCAGCTTTCTGTTTTTAATGCAGAGTTATGCAGGAACCAGTTGAAACGACACGAAACATTACCTGAACTTGAAGAACTGGTGTTGAGAACGTGGTTCTGGGGTGCAGGTACATTTGCTTTGGGCTGAATGCTATTCACACTGCAAGCACTTTTTTTTAAAAACTCTATCATACAAAATCCAGTTTTTTAGCTGTTAAAATCATTTTGTTGTGTACTTGAAGTCTCTAGGAGTGCAGAAAGGTTTAATTTCGTCTCTCCCATTGCTGCGTGGATAGCTTTATATTTTGTTTGGGTCATATTTTTCAACCAGTTCAGTTTTTTTTTTTAAATTTTGTATTACTTTTTCTAATTTACTATGACTCAGTAGTGACAGAATAAGGTCTGGACTTACCGCTTACAATTAGTTCATCTTTAATATCCTCTGGCTCTGGGTCAGACCTGGCTCCAACACGTAAGGCTGGATGGACAAGTCTTCTGTTGTTGACATCTTTTGAATTCATTTGTAAAAAAAACAAAAAAAGTTTCTGTGCTTCTCTATAGTTGCAAACCCCTCTATCAAACTTTAATGGACCAGTCTGGAAGAGACAGCCTCAAAACGAGTTGATGCGACACACCTCTGAAAAAGTGGCGAAAGAGGGAGGGGCTTGTGGAGTTACAGTAAGGAGGAATTCAGACCAAAGWGTTACAGTTCAACTGAATGATTTAAATGTGAAAAAAGAAGGATTTAAAAGCAGGACATGTCTCCTTTAAAATGAACTCTGAATTGTTTCTGATCCCAKAGCGTGCTGCGGGCACCTGATTTGTTTAACACGTCTTTTTCTTTTGTCTGGGTGACTCTTTGGCAAAGTGAGTTTAATTAAAAAGCATTCATCGAAGCCATCTTCGAACTGTATCAACAGCATTATCAGTAAATGAGTTATTCACTTTCAACACGTCTCTAAACATGGAACGTTCTGTGTTTTTTTATATAGTTTTACACATGTGGCCTCTTTATTATTACTGGAGCAAAGTTTTTTTGTTTTTTTGGCACATAACCTGAAAGTAATTCCCATATTGGAATGCTTTAGAGCAGCTGAAGCCCTTTGATACAAATAACAACGTTGGCTTGAAGAAAGATGTGAAGTACTTTAGCATTTATTTCAATGAGAGTGACCTCAGCTGGAGAAGCTCTAACTCTGGAGCAGGACATTCACAGTCGCTGTTGTCAGTTGCTGAGGCGATGGCAACAATAATACTGGGTCACTTTGCACTTTGCTGTCAAAAACAGTCCTGCTGGAATGTGGCACAAGAGTCAGCCRTCTCTGACTGGGCTGTCATGGGTGTTTCTGCTCACCKTGTGAMCTTTTCCTGCKGTATCATTAACATGCGAAGCTGCCRTGACTTATTTCAGCAATCTGTTCTTAAAAATCAGTTCTGAGTTTTATTGGATTGTTCCCTTGTGACATCAAAATATTTCCCGGTGTGAATTTTTTCTGTAATTGCATTGTTTTCTTGTGCCAGTTGCAAACGTTAACTTTTTTTTTCTTCACTTCCTCCCCTCCCCTCTCATCTTTTTCTCTGTGCAGTCGCAGCCGGGCCAGGCAACACCCAAGCCGGCAGCWCAAGTCTCCACTGTGAAGCCTGCAGAGTTTGAGGTATGAAACTTTTTAACCTCTTCTCTGCCTCCTCGTCTTTCCTTAGAGAAACCCGTACGTCGATTTCCCGTGTTTGATTGACGCTGACACCCCGCCCCCTTCCCTTTATCTGAGCTGGTGCTACTGTTTCCTTCCCTGCTCCGGATCTCGTGCAGAGCAGAAAAGATCTTAAAGGAGAGTTCCCCTGTATTTCCAGCAAACCATAGGAAAAACATTGTTTTTCATTCTTTTCAAACTCAGGATGTAAACATTCACTTTAAAGCTGCCCTGTCATCAACTGAAATAATTTCGAAATGTTCAGTTCTTTTTAATACCAGGCCTGATAAACTTTAACAAGTTGTTCACAACAGTGTAGAACTTGTGCCGAGGACTCAACTATTAGTTTGTTTGCTTCCAGACTGTGTTTGAACAAAGCTGCAGGTTAGACTGAGGGTTCATCAACAACTAAGCTTAGACGTGATCTTTTTTTTTTTTTGGTTTTTAGAAGTGTGCAGTTGTTTAGTTTTACTTGCGTTTTATAAAACAAACTAAACAGCTTATCAAATATGATGTAGCTTCAATTAATATTGGGTAAGAAAGGGCAGACGGTTCTACTATAAATAAGATTAGCTTGCAGATGTTTGGCATCAAAAAGAGGCTTATGGACTTATAACTTGCTCTGGAGCAATGACTTATCTGTAAGAGGTTCTTAGGAGTGATTTGTTTTCCTTTTTAAAAATATCTCAGATAGTAAAAAAAAAAGTACTAATATTAGTGTCTGACATAAAAAACAATATTTATTAATATTGCTAATGAAAAAGCTAGATTATCAAATAAATGACAGAAAACATTTTTAAACGTTTTTCAAGGGAGTATACTATATTTGCTGAAATAATGTCATGGGCAAAAAGCAGTTTATTCAGGGAGATTATCAGGTTATGGTTATTATTCATTTGAATCTGTTTATATACAGATACTGTAGCCAATGTCTTTTAATCTCAACTAAAAATCACCCTGTTTGCATGTCAGAAGATATTCTGTTAATTATATATTTTGAGAAGTAGTAAGAATTTGGCTCTTGGTAYGTGAAACACACCACTGTTTACATCAAACAGGTGTTGTGATTAGTTTTGTTACCAGTTTGAATAGACGGGATTAAAAAACACCGGAAGTAAAACAAGGATTTAGGGACCGTCTGCGAATTGCAACATCCGGTTATAGTGTTAGATAAAAAGATTAATATCGTCTGTGTTTTCAGCTAAATCATATAAAAAATTTATGAACCAGACCTTTATGTCTCCTGTTAACGTGATTCCAATAGTTTAATAAAATATGCACATTTATATTAAATTTCTATTTATACTTTAAAATAATTTCTTTACTTTATCAACGGTCCCTAAGAGCTGTCCTGCTCGCGCTGTGATTTGTTTACATCAGGCTGTCGGGTGTATGAAACTTTGCTTTTCTTTTTCTGAAAAACATATTCGTGGTTCTGCAATAGTTTGGTTGTGTTTTTTTTTTAAAGTTTCTTGACTATGTAAGTAAGAATATAKCTAACTTTAAAACTTCACTTAAACTAAAACTTGCATGTCGTCAAACGGAATGTCTGCTAGCAAAACCGCTACCGTGCGCGCGGAGACAGATCTCGAGCTTTTGTTAAACTAGCTCAAACTAAGTTAGCCCAGTTTTGTTAACTCGTTTTACAGTTTTACCTCAGTCTCAGGCCTTTATTGATGGCTGTTACTGTTACTGACTGAGGCCTGCAGACCAAAAACACCAATCAAATTGTAAATGCATTTACTCCACCCCCTGTTAACAATAGGTGTTAATTAGGTGTCACTGATAGCCATGTGATGTGAGTATCAGTCACATGGAGGCAGGGCTTAAAAGCCTGAATTTTGCCTGAAACTCTCAGACTGAAGAAGTCTCTTGGAGGAGAGACAAAACGTTTCATTAGAGAAGAACCCGTCCAGARGACCTATACAATTTAATGCATTTAGTTTTGAAGTGTGCATCATTTTGCTTTATTTGGTAAGTAGACTTAAGTTCGTAACTCATTGTCTTCTTACATCATTTTTTTGTTTAACTTGGATATGTTATCTCCAAATAAAATTACGTTCTAGCTGTTCACTCAAAGAAGACAGAAGAAAAATAATCAAATTTATTATAGATCGAATATAAACAAAACTATGAGATGTGAAAAAAGGCCCTTCTTCCTTTTGTTTTAATAGTTTGCTGAAACAGCCAGGTGTTATTTAACGCAAGGGTTCACAGAGGTGTAACAATGCTACGGTTTGACCCTCAACTTCCCCATACTTGGTACATTGCAGAAGTCAGGATCCGCCATGACTACAAATCCTGGCGTGGCTGCAACGACAACAGCCACCGGGAGTGGCGTGGCAGCTGGAGGATCTGCTACAGTCGCAGCAGCAGGAAAAGACTCACCTAAAACCAAAACGGAGGTAGATGGACGCTGGGGACGGGAGCTTTCTGGCTGTGTGGTGTAACAACAATCACGGCTTCTATCTTCTGGCCTCAAGCCTCCGTGCGTCCTCATCACGAGGCCGCCCTCTCCTCATATTTTCTGCCTTCATTTGTCTTTCACCTTTCAAAACATGTCTTTGCCCATCTGTGTGTGTGGTGCCGTGTTTTTGCAGCTCACCTGTCCTCTTTCACGAGGATCAGGTGCTGAGTGAGGAGCTGGTGAAACCTTGYGCTGAATGTTACTGACACTGCAGAGCTGACTTTATGAATAACTTCCACGAATTTCTTTAAACTCCTGCTCCCTTTTTTAGTTTTGAAGTCTAACACTGCACTGACCGCTGCGACTGTTCATCAGTGTAACTTTCTTTGTGCTGTTTTTAAGTCGCTTTTACCAACTACATGTTTATAGACTGCTGCAACCTCCCAGGTCAAAGCGAAATCTACGGCTCCTTCTCTTGCTGCTGGAACGACGACAACCGCTTCCGTGACCAAACCTCAAGTCTCAACCAAGGTAGACCTGACTGCTCCAGGCCACTCCGAGCCTTTCTGGGGGTTTAACCTTTCAAGGATGTCTTATTTTTCTGTTTTTCTGCTTCTTTGAGTTGTATGGGATATATTACTATTCTTACTTGGAAGGTTGCCTCTCTATGAAACTCTCTGCATGGTCTTTATTTCATCAGAGGAAAGTGTCTTGGATCTGGATTCTTCCTTCTGCAGCACTTTGCTCAGCATGCCTCCACTTGTTGCTCTGTAAAGCGACTGATCATAAAACTWGAGTCAGTGAGTGCAAACAAATGGATTATTATTATTTCTCGTCTTGCAACTGTTTCACTCCACCTCATTGTTTATTAACATCATGAAGTCGGTGGAGGCTTTTTCTCCGCTCCTACCAGTGACTCACTTTCCCGTCTTCAACTGACTCCTGGCCTGTTGTTGCAGAATTTGCATATTCCCAAACTGGACCTGTAATTTCCCTGGACACGCGCTTCGCCTGTAACAGATTTATTGTATTTTAGACTTCGGCTGCTGCTTCAACAGTCAAAGCTGAGGTGCCTAAAGCTGATCCTGGTAAAGCATCAAAGCCAGCTGCAGCAGCAGCAGCTGGGAATGTGTCAGTGCAAGGGAAGAAAGAAGATGCTAAAAGAACGCAAACGAAGGTAGATGATCATATTACACATGACGTCAAGCTGCGTCCTCTAGTGTTTATGTCCTTCCAGCTGTCAGCAGCAGGAGTAAATGTTGTCTTAGTATGCAGAAAGGTACCTGCAGGGAGTTTTTGTTTTCATCTCCTAACTTTTTCCAAACTGCACTGAGTTCATGCATCAACAAATTGGTCTTAACAGCACTAATTCAGGGTTTGTGTTGCAGGTGCAGGCAGAGGTTCCTTCAGCAGCAGCAACAGCAGCAGCAGCAGCAACCAAACAGGTAAATCTGATGCTTGATGTTTTGCTTTGAATGAAGCATGTTGCTTTCTGTGCCATGCTGAGTCGTGTTGCCCGTTCAGGCGTCTGTTGATGACCCGTTTGCCGCCCTGGGAGAAACGCTAGGACCGGCTGAACCTGTTGCTCCTAAACAGCCTGTGTACACGGGGCCAGAGATCAAAGAGGTACAGCGTGGTCAGGGCCTGCATGCATTTGTGTCTGTGTAAATGTGAGCATGGAGCTGCATGTGTAACGGCGTTAACGCATGTGTCGCAGAGTGTAATCTCCGAGGAGAAGGGTCAGAAGTGCGGGGAGAGAGAGGACTCGCTGCCTCCAGGATACAGATTTGAAAATGTGGTCAGTTTGTCTCACACTGTTTGCTTCTTAATTCACTTCATGCTTTTTTTTTGTGTGCGTGTGTCATTTATAAAACCCGCTGTTAAAATGTTTAAGGGAACAGCCCTTCTTTAAGAATCTTAAATGACTGCAAAAATGCAAAGTTCTGTGGAATGTTGCTTTTATGGCTTCATTCACATTTTCTGGTGAAAGTGATGAAAGTAGGAACATTATATTAAAGTTTAGATCAAGTAGTTCCTATTGTGTTTTACTGTGTTAAACAGAAACAGTTTTATCAATGATTTCAGGGTATCCGCGGGGTTGTAAAAAGTATTAAAAGGTAGTAAATCAAATAAGCAAAAATTAAAGCCATTAAAAAGTATTAAAAGGTAATAAACGCCATCTGACGAGGTATTAATTTTTAAACAACTAGCGCACTTTCGCCATGCTGGAATCTGATGCGCAGCGTGGAAAACAGATTTAACAAACATTTCTCTGGCCCTATCTGAGACGCAGCTTTAACTTTAGACAGGCCTATTAGCCTATCAGAAATAGTGTGGGGGTGGGACTTAAGTGTCTCTAGTAGCAGAAGTTGGAGTGGTGTTTTAAAAAAAACATATTTGTTAGGACACGTCTGAAAAAGAACAGGAGACGATATCAAAGCTGGAAGATTGTTTAAAGTCAGAAAAGATAAACCAGCAGAAGGATTACTGACTCCTCCACCTGAGCTTTAGCTAAAGTTAGCTGGAGCAGAGCGGGGGAGAAGAGAGGAGCAGACAGGTGCAGCAGGTGAGGTGATGACTTTTATAAGAATGACCCGGGAGATAACATCAATCAACAGGTGTGTGTTTACTGGWACAAACTGACACAAAACAGTTATATTTGTTTGAACAAAACAAAAGTAAATTAAAGCTGTGTCTCCGATTTTTTTCATTGTTTTTCCCCAAAACTGTCAGGGAGGGCATTCTCTATGAAGATGTCAGTTTTATATGTTTGTAGATAAATATGAGCTAATTTAAACCCTACACTGTATATTAAAGGGTTTTGGGAATTTGAGCTAAATTTTTTATTTGGGATAAGACTTTATGTAAATTAATGCTGGATCACATGAAACATAATTTACAGTTCTCGCGTAGATTCTGTTGATTTGGTTTGTTGAGTAAGTTTTTATTATTTTCAATCATAGTTTTTAATTGAAAGTATTTTTAGCTACAAGAAAGTTTATAAATTGGGATTTTTTTTTTTGCAGTTTTGATAAATTTAAAAGGTGTTATTTGAAAGCTATTGCAGGCAACCCTCTGCTCAGTATGAAAAAATTTGAAAACTGATTTTTTTAAAGAAGTTGATTGAATCCTTTACAGGCGTTCTTTAGCTGGTATTGTCAATGAATATGCAGATAAAAGATGGTGAATGTGAGGGTAAAACTGTGTAGTGGTGGTGGGGTTCATTCTCTTGTTCAACAAAAGTTTTAATACATGTTTAAAAAAACAGATGGACATACACAGATGTTATTTAGAGCAGGGGTTCTTAACCTTTTTGACCTCGGGGCCCAATTTATTGAACATAAAGTGGCACGAGGCCCAGTCACACATTACCAATGTATGGATCAAAATGATAATTATTCTAAATCTTGGTTTGAAACAAGAGGGAGACAACTGAAACGGAGGCCTCCGTTT